AAACGTCTGTTGAATGGGTGGTCCTTGTTTTCATCCTTTCCTTTATGCCATTTATACTTATTAATATCTAGCAAATACTCTGTATTCCAAATTGATGACAGACTATCCAAAAGAGATCGCTCAGTGTGATGGGAAGAGTATTAGGTTAGAATCTTTTCTTGCTTCTGCCCAATGTGACCTTGGGGATGGGTCAGAACCACCCTGGGTTTATTTCCTCATCTGTAAAATGAAGTGGTAGAGGTAGACACTCTAAGAATCGGACCAATTCTGTAAGACTAACATCACGGTCACAAATATATAGATGACAGAGACTCAGCAAACTTGGAAAAAAATGTTTATAATTTTCACAGTATGAAGTGGCTATACCTTGAATCTGGACAGAAAGTAAAATCTAACTTACTTGGTGGTACTTAGGAGAAATTGCCAATATTGTAGAAAATCTAGATCACTGTTATCAAACTTTAAAAGAAGGGCAGAAGAATCAGTTTTTCAAATGAAATCTTACATTGAATCCCAACGTCTAAAACAAACACAAAGGTCAAAACCCTCTGACTGAAATAGGGATGCCAGGAGTCCATCTTCGCACCTTCTGACACACGTTCCTGGCAACACTGTTGGACCTCAGTCTAATTCCTATCTCTAGCCTTTTCTGTACTTTGAAATAGTGCTAAAATTAATTACCAATTTCATTCAGAGAAGAAAAACTAAAGAAAAAGCTTTCATGGGAAAGTAGTCAACAACTTAAAGCCAATTTTGTGAGTCTACCAACTAATTTTAACTTGAGAAATAGAATCCCCTACATTACAGTCTAGTAATGCATAGACTAAGATTATTACATTAGACAGTGACAATTTAGGCTTCAAAATGTTTTACAAGATTTAATAAATTCTGAGATGTGAACAAACACTAATGTATAGCTTTTAAATTTTACTTATAATTTTGATATTTTAGTAGCTCATCTTCTACTTTATCCTACAATCCTACCTCAGAGGGATGATGCATGTCTCTGAAAGCCAAAGTAATTTGGTGTATGTCCTTTTTTTTAAATCACCAAAGGTAAATTTATTTAAAAAAATTAACTTAAACACAGGTTGCCATCTCTGTGGTTAATGGTTATTATTTTCTTAGCAGAAAGAAGCAAATTCTTTGCTTATATAACCTGCATTGTGTCCATCCCTCTACTTGGAAATATCATTAATGAAATCACTAAGACATATTACAATTAATTTGGACAATGGGTTTCATACATAAAATGCCCCATAGGTCTGTTTTTAATATTATTTTTAAAATTCCAACATCCTTGTTAGTCATCTTATTTATGATCACTAATTTAGATAACAGAACATTGTTTTACCTTAAATAAGGTACAGTATTAATCTTGTAAAGCTAAGCAAGATCCATGTGACCAATTTGTTGAATTGTTATTCAACTTTACTGTCATATTTTGGTCAAAGCTTTTAAAAAGCTGAGGACTCCCTCACCTTTGTTTTAAATATTAGCTGAAAGCTAAGGGCTCACAGCTCTTACTTTATTCATTCACCTATTTCTCATAGTGTTGGGGATCGAACCCAGGCCCTTGTGCATGGCAGGCAAATGTTGTGCCACTCAGCTACATCACTGGCCCTAAGGATTTTCAGCGACATTTCATCACAGGCAACAACAAAGCATACTTCTGTACTCACTAGTGACCTATTAACCTCCTTCAGCAAGATACATGGTTTGAATTGTCTGGGTAAAGCCTGTTAGATATGAAATTGCTATGTGGTGGAACCAACAGATTCCAAGTTCTTGGTACAGTAAGCAATGAACTGGGAAGCGTACACACAATGGTGGAAGAAAAGCAGCTGTTTATGGAAGGTCATGAACAGAAACGGATGACAGAAAAGGAACACTGCATGCTGTGCAGATAGATCAGGCTCTTGGGCTCCAGTGTACAAGTGTGGGGTTTGCATGTGCTTTGGTCTAGTCATACAGAATGGTGGTGGTGGCGGAGCTCAAATGGGTGGAAGAGCATGAATTCCTCATCCTATCTGTACTAAAATGGCTTTCTGTGCCTCACAAGCAAGTAGGAAGGCAAAACCCATCTCTTTCTTATAAAAAGGTCTCCACTGTTTTCTGTGTATGCTGCTGACACCAAACTGATCTGACCAATGGTTTCAAGATTCACTTTATAGCCAATGTGAACACGTATGTGGTACATGGATATAACAGATGGTATTTTTTATTATCATTTACAGGCAGAACAGCTTTGCCTCCATCTGCCACAGTGACTTACCTGATTCACCTTTCAGAAATGACCATACGACAACAGTACTGAGAATCCAGTGATATACATCAATAGGAAGAGGCCGGATTAATTTTGGACTTTGTAAGAGTTGAGATTTTATATTGCTTTAAGGAGCACTGACAATATTTAAGAAAAAGGGAGACACAACCTGAATTTTAGTAAGACCCATGTTTCTTCCAAAGGATTGTAAAGTAGAAAAAGTAAAAGCAGGGATACTAGTTCGATGACCACTGTAATAGAACTTAGTGAGCAGTGATGGTTAAAGCAGGATACTAATAGTAGATGGATTCTGGATACTATCAGTTAAAACGTTCCGAGTACAAATAACCAAACACCCAACCAGAAGAAACTTGCAGGCTTATTTCACAGGAGGCCCAGTCCTACAGCAGGCTCCACTGACATCATCAAAGAGCTCTGTACTTGCAAATTTTATTAGCCTGATCCTCAACCTGGAAGGGTGCTTATTTGACTGCTATTAGCAATTAAAATTAGATACTCCTTATTTATGGTCAAAAGAATCTGAATTCATGTGGCTATTTTTACGAGGCAGAACTCCTTTTTGCCTGATGGCCCTGGCCAATTTCATTGGCCCTGTTATTTCAATCTGTATCTCTTTTCTAAGAGGATTGTAAGAGACATGTAGTCACCAGGACTGGCTCAAGATTACAGGAATGGATGCTGAGGCAAGGTGGTATCAAATTGCAAGGAATATGTTTGAAAGTAAGAGCTGACTGGTTTGCAAGGGAGTGGATACTAAGAGAATATAGAACTAAAGCGCAGTTTTTGTATTTTTGGCTTCATCTCTTTCCTATAAAAAGGTCTGCAATGTTTTCCGGTCTGTGCTGCTGACGCCAAACTCTTCTACTGTTACTGAGTAGAAAAAGCAACATATGGAAGACTGAAGGAAAGATCAGACATTTTTTGTTGTTGGTGAGACAGGTCTCACTCTGTAATTCAGGATGGCTTTGAATTCACCCAGGCAGGCACTGAACTCACAGAGATCCTCCTGCTTCTGCTTCCCCAGTGCTAGGATTACAGGTGTGTGCCACCACGCCCGGCAAGATCATATTTGAGAAGGATAAACAAGGATTTTGTTTTCACTAAGATTATCAAACCAATTTATAAGAAATACAGCAAAAAGTCAAGCCTAGATTCAGACGGGGTACAACAGGAGACATTACATTGGCTGGAAAAGCCACCACATCCTGTGTGTGCGGATAGAGGGTGGCGGACCCAAACTCAACTTGGTCAGTGTACTAAGGATATGGGTATCTGTTAAAAATACAACAAGACCAAAACATAAAAAGCAAGCCATTGTGGCTATCACGTAACCTTGCAAAATACAGAATATCAAGGGGAAGTACACAGGATTGTAACATTAACATGGCTGGCTGGGCTCCACTAGGTTCACAAAAGTGTCAGCTGTATATACAGGGCTTTTATACTTTCCAAAGTTCTTCTGTGTTTCTTAATCCATTTGATCTTCTAGCAGTTCTGTCAGGTAGGCAAGGCAGACTTATTCTCAGGAGAAAATACATTTCTGTTCAACTCCCATTTTAGAACTTGTTTGCAGCACTGTTGCAGAAACTTTACACTTGAAATTACTCAAGAGCAATGGTAATTCTAATATATTTAAGTTTGCAAATATTCCTTCAAATCCTCAGTATGTTAGTTTTATTCTAAGCTTACCAGAAAGAATTTGTTCCAACCAAAGTTAAATCTCTCCCTTAGCAATAGGTATGGCACCAGAAATCACTTCACAGAAACTTTACTGTACTAAATTAACCTGTTTCCTAATACACAGTACAAGTACTACACATAGTACAAGTGCTGTGAACTTGTTGATAAAAGTATTTTGATAAAGTGCTTTGAGTCTAGTTCCCTAATTTTAACAGAAGATACTATCTTAAAACTGTGATCAGACATCCAATAGATTTTAAGTACTAGTAATACTCTATAAACCATTAGTACTGTTCTTAATGGTTTCAGGAACTAAGTAAGTTATACTTAAAAATGATTAACATACACAAGTCCCAGGCATCAGGGAGAACGTGAACCCTAAGTGATGCACGTCTGCTGCCCTCTCCTAGCGCAATCCCTCCCTGACTGTGAACATTCTTCCGCTCAATGCTGTGCACATAACACATTCAGATGCCTTGGGATCACTGGGTTCTGCGGGCTCTGCTGCCGGGGTAAGGGCTCGGGCATGCAGGAGCCTCCAGAAAGCTGCCCCATCCTGGGATTCCTCGGCTACGAGCGGACTGCCCTGTGGATGGGCTGCTTTTTTCTGTGAAGAAGGTTTGTAGGAGCAGCACGCAAAGCGTATCACTATTCTTATTCTCTTACTTTGTTATGAAATTTTTTCACAGCAAATAAATGAGCTGAAAAAAACACAGGTTTTGAAGGGTCACCTTACACATGTCACTAAATGCTGCCTAAGCTATGAAAATACAGATTACATTAAGGTTTAATGTGATATAAAAATAGTACTTCGTGAATTGGACTAATATTTAATAGATGTGGTTTAACAAAAGCCTGAGTTGGGAATGAGATGAACTTTAAGCCCAGGTCATTGAACCTGAGCCTCACTGAACATTACCAAAAGGAAAAAGTATCATAATACAGAATTTACTGTCTCACTACACTGAGGTTCTGGAAAATTATGAGTATAAAATTACGGATTAAGCAGCAAACAATCAAGACTGAACCAAACCAGGATTAAACCAAAACATTTATTTTTTTGTTACAAAAAAATCCAAGCAAATAATGAAATAAACATATTTTTAACTCTATCCTGGGCTCTTTGTCCTAGAATTTAGTACACAGTTCAAATTGAGGGTATTCCAACACTTCTTCTGGATGCTATGACGTCTCCATCTTGTAACCATGTTTCTCTAGTTCAGCTCTATAATAAAACACAAAGAACAGTGTCAGTAGGCATTTCTTTATGATAAGTCAAAAAATATGTGTTTTTAAGAAATAGTACAATTTATAAATATCAACTCCCCCACTTACAAACGCGTTCCACTCTGGAAGAACGTTCGTAAGTTGGATTCATTGGTAAGTCCACCAACAGAGTGAGTCTTATACTGTATTCTCACTTTGGTTTCCATGGTTACTGCTTTGCACATCCTAGCTGTCCCCTCCACATCACCACTGTTTTTCCTCTTGCTTCCGGACATCCTGGGCTCTGTACAGTAAGCACACAGCAGCACAACTACGATAATGTCCGGCAGACACATGAGCTACTTCTAAATTTTTTGCAACTAAGAATGTCCATAAAGCAAGGCCCACTGGTACCTGTGAAAGTTCACAACCTGAATGTTTGTAAGTCAGGGGCATACTGTAAATCCCTAAGCCTAGGGCATCAACTTAAAATGTTACTACATGGATTTATTTTCGAAAATAAACATATATACAAAAAAAACAACGTGAATCAATTTTATCTTAATTTCCTTATTAACCTACTTGTGGAAGAAACTTGTCGGATTCACAGCTATTTTCCAAATACTCTTCAAACACTATACACGTGTTCCGTTCCTAATAAATATTTAAATGCAAAGTTCTGTTATCCTCCAGGTTTGCTATTTACCTTCCTGATGGGAGGTGGCCACCAATTCCATTTATAAATTGTCAATACAATGGAGATGAAGTGCTGTCAACTAAATTCTTAGAGAAAATGAAAAGTTCTTTGCTAGAATTTAAATGCATATTAAACTGAAAGAAAAATAAACTGAGGCCACTAAGTACAAAACAAAAATACTAATATTATGAATACAGAGTGAGTGAAAAAATCCAAAAAAGACAAGTGGGAAGAAATGTGGTAGACCTGGAATGGTATTACAGAACACAGACAGTAAGTGCACAGTATCTGAAACCAAAGCAGCAGCATTCCTTTTGCAAATAAGAAAAGCACTCATAGCAACAAGTAGGCTCGCAGCTCTATTACTGTGACTGTATCTGACATGCTAGATCACAAACTGTACTGGTTTCTTGGAGTTTTTATGTAAGATGCGGTGTCAGGAAAAGCATCTAGGTTTCTACCCTGTATACAGAAAAACAAATGCTATCAGGTGAGAACACCACCACGACAGAATGGCTCTTAGTTACTGGGAGACACAGATGGCGGTACTGAATTTCTATTTGTTCAAGGTCATTACACTGAATGAGGAAAAAAACAATGACAAGTGGGTGGCCTGTTAGGCTGAGAATTTCTGTTCAACATAAACCACAGTCTAAACATTTCATATATATTAATTTAATTATTCTTTAAAATAACCCTGAGTAAAGTACTAATTATTTGCATTTTATATGTGAGAAAAGTGAGTCACAGGAAGGCTGAATGACTTGCTCAAGGAAGGTGCAGCGAAGTAAAAGGTAGACCTAGGGTTGGAACCAAGGTGGTTTGACTCTAGAATATGAGCCGCCTTTCCAAAGTTAGGTGGGATGAGGACCAAACAATGTCAGAAAACAGTAAAGTAAGTTCTTTACTATGACTCATGACGCCACAGTAAGGGCCTCTGCACATACTACAGAGACCAAGATGAACATCTTTGCAGGAAACTTATTAATCAATACCAGTTAGTTAAACGCAGGTCTGTCTGAGTGGTTGTGCTGTTCAAAATGGTAGTTATACATGGCTTTGTAGGGGCTAGGAAGAGGCGGTTCCTGGGGACAGAACCCAGAGCCTTTGCACTGGGCTATACCCCTGTCATTTTGTTTTTTAAGGCAAGGGTTTAAATCACTCAGATGCCCAGGCTGAGCTCATACTTATGGTCCTCCTGCCTCAGCCTCTCAAGAGTGCTGGGATTGCAGGGATGCATCTCATATCATTTTTATGTGACTATTTAAATTTTGAAAACTCTGGCCACATTCCATGTGCTCAAGATCCATATGTGACTAGTGGCTTCATACTGTATAGCTTATAAAACATTTCCATCACTACAATAAGTTCTGTTTAACAGCACTAGCGATAACCTCAATAACCTTAGATAAAAAGCATGGCTTAAACAGAGAAATAAAAAGCACACACTTTATCACTAATGGGTATATCACAGTTCATACATATACGAAAATCTGGGGGCCCAAAGGCAGGAACACAATAGAGAAAAAAAAAGAGCACTTAAAAATGTATTATAAAAACAGCCACAAAGAATATCGTACACAGACATTTAATTATTGATACATTTACTACGACAAGCGAACTGATAAAAGTAATAATAGTATCAATAATCTCTTGAATAATTTTTAGGAGAAAGGTGCTATCATAATGAGTGAAAGAAACAACAACAAAAAAAACCTCTGGAGAAAAGTGACCCTTGACTGGCAAGGGAAGAAAACCTCATTTAGCATTACTTTAAAAATTTCAAGAAGGTATCAGAAGAAAAAAAAACTCATCCATAATTAAAAATATAGAACAGGACTTAACAGCACTGGAAGGTCTGGCAATCTGTAGCACAGTATGATTCCAACGAGGAAGAAAAAGGAGATGTGTATTTTACAAAGAGGTGGCAGGGTGGTCCCTGATGTGGCTCAGTTTTAAAACAGTATTAATAAAAAACACAATGCAAAAACAAAGCACATGTACTGTATGTGGAATTAACTTGATCCCAGAGTAAACTGAGATTCATAAAAAAGACCTTTTTAAGAGCTACATTTTGGTGAAAGAACATGATAAAGGATGGATCCAATGCTTGGTATAGATAGTGTAACATTAACAGATTTTAGAGAAAAGCAAGTATTACTTTTCAGCAGCTATTTGTTCTTTGTAAAAGAAAACACAAATTAAAAACTGAGGTGAAGTAATACCAAGCTATACTAAAGTAGCTTAAAGTTTCAAGCCCTTAAACAATTACATCTCAAGGAAGAATCAATTAAAGGATAAAATAAAAAACCTGAGTTAAAGTCTTTAGAATGTAAGTGTTTTAAACCAATTTTTAAAATGTAGTGCACAGCAGGCACTACTGTATCACTATTGAAATTAAATTTTAAAAATTCATTACATATTATCTCACATCCCTTTTGAACAACAGGTCTTCTGTAGCTTGATTTGAGCAAAGCATGTGGCAGTCTACTTATATATCAAGACTGATAAATACAGGTTGAATCGTAGTAAGATCAGGGAGGGGAAGAAATATCTATTCAACAAATGCTGGGATAACTGGCTAGCCGCATGGAAAATAATGAGTCAGATTTTTATCACGTATCATCTATAAAAATTAATGCAAAACAGGGGGCTGGGGATTTAGCTCAGCGGCACAGCGTCTGCCTGGCAAGCGCAGGGTCGTGAGTTTGATTCCCGGTACCAGAAAAAAAAAAACAAAAACAAAAAACAAAACAAAAATTAATGCAAAACAGATTGAAGTTCTAACTTTAAGAAGTAAAACTATAAAACTTACAAGAAAACATAGAAACAAATCTTGATTATCTTGAATTTGGCAATGAATTATTAAAAATGACACCAAAAGCACAAATAAAGAGATAAACCAGGCTTTTTCAAAATTAAAAACTTTTGTGCAAAGGACCGTAACATGAAAAGATAACCTAACAGAAGAAAATATTTGCAAATCATATACCTGATAGTTTCAGTGTCAAAAATATGTGTAGACATCTCACAACTTAACAATAAAAAAAAACACTATTTTTAAATAAGACAAGGACTTGAATAAACATTTCTCCAAAGAAAACATGCAAATGGTCAAATGTACATGAAAAAGTTGACAATTAGGGAAATTAAAATTTAAAAACACAGAGGTATCATTTCATACCCTTCCACTTATGGCTACAACTTTTTGAAAAACATTTTGGTAAATATGTGGAAAAACTAGAACCTTTACACATTGCTGGTATGAATGTAAAACTCTTCTGCCACTGTAGAAAAGTTTTAGCAGTTCTTCGAAAAGTTGAACCTATAGTTACCATTAAGCCCAACAATTCTACTTCTAATAAATACAATAAGGCGTATTCATACAATGGACTATTACTGAGCCATAAAAAAGAATAAAATATTGATCACAGGCTATCACAAAGATGAACTTTGAAAGGGGCTAGGGATTTACCTCAGCGACACAGCGCCTGCCCGACAAGCGCAAGGTCGTGAGTTCCATTCTTGGTAATGGGAACCACCCCCCCAAAAAAGATGAACTTTGAAAATATTATGCTAAATGAAAGGAGCTAGACTTATATTATGAGTCAATTTATATAAAAAGTCCCAAACAAGCAAATCCAGAAAACAGATTAGGTGGCAGGGGAAGTTACCTGCATACAGTAGTCGCTGCTTAATGAGCACAGTATTTTCTTTTGGGATACTGAAAATACTGGAACTAAACAGAGATGGTTATACAATATTGTGAATGTACCGAATGTCCTAAATTGTAGTCTTAAAAAGGACTAATTTTACCTCAGTAAGTAAATAAAAGTAGGCAGATTTCTGTATGAATATGAAAAAGTATACCTTGACAATCCTAATCTAAATTTCACTTCAAGAATCACCAATTTTTTGGGTTCCCCATACTCTACTATTTTTATTCAATATTAGTAGAAAATTAACAATGACAGATTCAAACTAATAAAGATTTAAAATATAAAGAACAGTAAATATGCTTCTATTTAACTACCTTTGTCAGACTAGTAAGAAAAAAGTTACACGCAATTACATAAAGTATTCATGTTCAGAAACCCAGGAGATGAAGGTAACGTTCTGCTTTACATATTGCAAAGATTAAGTATCTTTTAAGATATCAATTATTTATGTAAGTTACAATATTCCAAACTTCAAATACTGAGCTATAAGAGTCTGGCTTAAAGCTTACCTTAACTGATTGGAGAAGTCATCCTCTACATTGTCATCATCCCAGTTATCTTCCCAGACATGGGCATCTTCATCTTCATCCAAACCAGCCCAGTCTAAAAACAGAGAGATGTCTAAATACATCTCATACATTATTTCTACAAACATAAAAACTTCAGGAAGTTTGCCACTGGACACTCTCACAATTCAAACAGCTAATGCCAGATCCACATGAAAAGCATCTTCTCAAATCCCCAAGCTTTGCTGTCTTGCTCTCCAATTCTTGAATTTACAGATAATCTAAAATAAACATTAATATAAAAAACTCTCTTTGCCACGAAAACTTTTGATTTGAGGAGGGTATTTACTTCATTGAGTTTTTTTGCTTTGAGCTCATTTTTACGTAGTTTACAATCCTTCAGAAAAGCAGCAACGCCATAAAGCACCAGTACAGAGTTGAGGACTACTAAAATACAAAATGGACAATAACTCACATACATGATTATAAGCCATCACTAGTATTTGATTATTAACACCAATATAAAATTCAGATTCTGACAGGGAGGACAACTACAAGTAAGTACAAGGTAGAATGTTGTAGTTTTTAAGTTTTCTAAATTTTCTTTGTGCTTCCATCTCTTTTGGGTAGGGGGAAGATTTAGAATAAGATTTCAGCTTTTGTTTAAAATAGAAAATACATTATGTACACTCTTACTCAATATACTCCTGGAAATTTTAGCCACAGCAATTAGACAAGAGAAAGAAATAAAAGGAATAATGACACAAAAGGAAGAAGTTAATCATTATCTGCAGATGATATGATACTCTACATAGAAGACCCCAAAAATTCCACTAAAAACTGCTAGATTTAATAGGCAAATTCAGTAGCATAGCTGGATACAAACTCAACGCTCAAAAAGCCTTGCTGTACACAAATAACAAGCTTACTGAGAAAGAAATTAGGGAAACAACACCTTTCACAATAGCATCCAAAAAAATGAAATATATAGCTATCAATCTAATGAAGGATGTAAGAGACCTTTACATTGAAAACTACAGTACTCTGACAAAGGAGACTGAAGAGGATATCAGAAAATGGAACAATATCCCTTGCTCTTGAGTAGGAAGAACCAATATAGTGCAAATGGCCACACTTTCCAAAATTGTTACATAGATTTAATGCAATTCGGATCAAAATTCCAAAAGTGTATCACACAGAATTAAGAAAAAAAAAAAATCCTACAATTCATTTAGAACCAGAAGAGACCTAAATAGCACAGGCAATTCTGGGCAACAAAGGCAAGGCAGGGGGCATCATAATCCCTGACTTGAAATTATACTATAAAGCTACTGTGATAAAAACAGTGTGGGATTGGCAAAACAAAACAAAACAGACCCAAAGATCAATGGAACAGATCAGAAGATACAGAAACAACTCCAGACATACTCAGCCATCTTATCTTTGACAGAGGTGCCAAACACATTCACTGTAACAAAGACAGCCTCCTTAACAAATGCTGCTGGAAAAGCTGGCTGTGCACATGCCAAAGATTAAAATGGAACCCATGTCTATCATCATGCATTACAGTAAAGTAAAAGTGAATCAAAGATCTAAATATTAAAACAGAAACATGAAACCTACTGGAAGAGAAAGTAGGTAGAAACCTTGAAGACATACATATAGGCAGAAAGTTCATGAACAAAACCCAAACTGCATTAGAAACACTTCAAAGAATGAACAACTGAGCTTTATTAAAAAGCTTTTGTACATCAAAAGAAATCACCAACAGAATGAAAAGACAACCTACAGAGCGGGGAAAAAAAATTTAGCCAACTGTCCCTCAGACAAAGGACTTGTATCTAGAACACATACAGAACTGAAAAAACTCAGACCCTCCAAATTCAAACACCCAACCCAAAAATACACACTTCTCAGGTGAAGAAATACAAATACCAAATAAATACATGAAAAAATGTTTAGTCATTCAAGAGATGCAAATTAAAACAACACTGAGATTCCATTTCATTCCAGAAAGAACAGCTATCATTAAGAAAGCAACTAATAACAAATGCTGGAGGGTCTGTGGGAAAAAAGGAACCCTTCTCCACTGTCGATGGGAGTGCAGACTAGTGCAACCATTATGGAAATCAGTGTGCAGATTCTTAAAAAACTAGGGATTAGAGATCCCATTCAACCCAGTTATTTCCCTTCTGGGTATCTTCTGAGAAGAATTTAAAACATCACACTACAGTAATATATGTGCACCCACGTTTATAGCAACACAATCTTTAACAGCTAAATCTTGGAAACAATCCAAATGCCCATGAATCAAAGACGGGATAAAAAAGATGTGGTCTTTTTACACAGTGGAGTACTACTCAGACATAAATAAGTATAAACTTGAGACTTTCATAGGTAAATGGATGTAGCTCAAGACCATACTCATAAGTGAAATAAATCAGATGCACATGTGCCAACATAGTATTGTCTCCCTGGTGTCAGGAGGTGAAAGAGTAAATAAGATCCAAAATGTACAACAGATATTGTAAAATGGGAAGAAACTGTTTAAAAGGAAAGAGAAACTGGGATGGGAGAACGGATGAAAGAAGGAAGGGAAAAGAAAAAAATACACATACAAGAGAGTTAAGGAGGCATTTAGTTCAGCAGCACAGCGCCTGCCTGGCAAGCACGAGGTCCTGAGTTTGATTCCCAGTACCGGGGTGCGGGGGGGATAGTTAAGATAGCTATACTACTAATTTCTCCTACTTCATTCTAAAGAAAGGTTTGTGCTAATATTGGTTGGACAATTAAATGCCTACATCTTGTACTCTAACTAAAGATAACTACACAATGTATTAACCACTGTCACCCTCCTATTATCTTGTTTTGAAATTTTATTTCTCTTTAAAATAAAAAAAGACAATATATGTAAACTAGTATCATCAGGCATTCTACTACTGGAATAAGGAATATTTATTGAGAATGCAACACTAAGCGCATTAGATATACAACTAGAAAGGAACTACATATCAACAAGTTGGTTTTCCTACAACCACATCTCTAGTTATTACTTCTATTTCAGAAACCAAGGGACATAACAAAATGAAACACAGATTGCTCCCATGCATTTTTTTCCCACGTGTTCTTGAATACTAATTCTTTCTAACTGAATGTCTAAACCAGGAATTCACCCATGGTCCCTGTTCTCCTTCAGTGCCTCTGAGTGATTTATTTTCGCAGCAAATCTGTCTCCACAGCAGCAGTCTCTCTTAAACTTTAAAGTTCTACATATAACTGCCTACTAGGTCCAAACTCCATGCCACCACAATTTAACTCACTATCTTCATTTACTCCTATGCTCTCTTAGCCTAAGGAAAATCACAAAAGCAGTCAGCGAGTCTCACCAAGTGCCAGGTGAGTCATCACAAATTTCTTTCTCTATCCATGACCCAGTCCTGTCGCTTTCATCCCCAGTCATTCTCAAGTCCATCTGTTTCTCTCCCCCTATTACTTCTGCTCTAGATCAGACCATCACATTATTCTTTCTCACCTACACGAAATAATATTCCTTTAACAGGTTCTGCTTCTCTTCTCTCGATCCTGACAAAAATGTAGGCTCCAGGGTAACTTCACTATGTACTCCTTTCATTCTAAATACATCCACTAACTACAAAAGAGTATGCATATATTGTTCTCGTTAGGTTAACCCACTTGCTACAGTTTTGACACAGCTTTACATTTTCTCACACACACACACAGAAATATTATACCACATAATGTATCTGTTTCACAATCATTGTTATTTAATATTCAAATCCACTGTTGGCCACATGGCTTGAATTACTCTCTCGTACACATTCCCCCATGTTAAAATTGCAATAAAGAATGACCTACAAAATCATTGTTTACTCAGCTCCTTAACTTTGTTTCATATTTTACAATTGGTTAAGATTTTATACTCATCACACATTTCACCCTGCTCCTCATCCTTCTCTGTGCTATCGTTTGAACCTATTAATTGGTTTGACTTCTACTTATCTTGAATTTGGTTCAATTATTCATTCGTTTCTCCATTAAGAGGAATCATGGCTCCAAGAGAAATGGTTAATTTCTAACCTGGGCCATGGAACTTCCTAGGCACTAAACCGACAAAAATTCAGAAGCTGGCATAAAGAAACAATAATGAATTTTTAAAAACGCATACAAATACTTGACAGAGGAAACAGGAATAGCCTTCCTTTTTAGAGTTTTCAGCTATGTAAATATGAAAAGAATGACAGAAAATCACCATTTTGCAAGCCCTCAGTGCAACAAAGGCAAAGATCACTTGGTGAGACTCGCTGACTGCTTTTGTGATTTTCCTTAGGCTAAGAGAGCATAGGAGTAAATGAAGATAGTGAGTTAAATTGTGGTGGCATGGAGTTTGGACCTAGTAGGCAGTTATATGTAGAACTTTAAAGTTTAAGAGAGACTGCTGCTGTGGAGACAGATTTGCTGCGAAAATAAATCACTCAGAGGCATTAAAGTCACGCAAAAATGGTTGGTTAACAAGATAGACTCATTACAAAGGGGGAGATGGAGAAATACAGAGGTCACCATCTTAATCCAGTAAACGAATTTACTAGCATCACCGTAATTTAGGACAGCTTGATGTGTTTCTTGAAGGGATACAATTATGTAATACTCTTGTTAATGAAGCTGATACTGAATCTAATCCTAAGGAAACTATCAAATAAATCCAGAGGGTAAAACTTTCTCCAACTGAACTCTTCACATAAGTAGGTCAATGTCATGAAAACCAAACAGCAAAAATGAATGGCAACCGTTAGATTAAAAGGACAAAAGTGATACAACAGCCAAATATGACACATAAGCAAATTAAAGACACAGGACTAGGGAAAAAGTGAGAGTTGTTTCTCTGAAACAACTGGTAAAATCTGACTATGGACTGCATCTTAGATATTAACGACTTTATGTTAATTTTCTTAGGCATGATTGTGAAATAATTTTAGAGGAGACTGGTCTAAAGAAGGCACATAGGCTAAAATATTTTAATCAAGTGTCATTTATTAATAGCTTACTTATAAATTGTTCTCATATGTATTTGATACTCGT